AAACAAATTGCGCTCTATATCAAAATCAGTAATGTAAAGATTGAAACAGATATTCTTGTGATAGAATAGGAACAAAGAGTCAATCTCAATTGTTAAGAATGCCGAAAAATAATTATTTTTTTCGCAAGACTAAAATCTTAAATTGATAAATATAATAATCATTCCAGCTGCTATAATTCCAGACACAAAAGCTAATAAAATTAAATGTAATATAGTCAATCAAAATTATATTCACAAAATATGAGTTTTGATCATCAATATCAACTGCATCAACATTAAAACTATATTCACAAAATATGAGCATTCACCATCAACCTATCTCGCTTTTCCCTTGTATCTATGTTAAATTATATTCTCCCTTAAATTCTATAAATCTTTAATAAAGAGTTTATTTGTCTAACTGATTGATAATATGATATAACCCACCCATCGTTAGTCTATTATATTCACGAGAAAAATATGTTAAGAGAATTAAAAAGGTCAAATTTGCAAGACATGAAATCGAAGAAAAACTATTAATTCATCTTGGCATCTCATCAAATGAAGCAACTAAATCCTACCAAAAGATAGTTTTTATTTAACCAAATGAAATCGTAAAACAAAAAAAAAAATTGCGTGTTAAAAGAATCTAATTTGAAGAAGAAAATGGAAAAATAGAATGAAGTAGATTTTTTGTTACTGTAAGAATGGTTGCGTGAGAAAGGAAAAAAAATAAAATTCTTTTTCACAGAGCGTATAAAAAAAACATAAATTTTTTTCTTGCTCCGTGCATGCACGGAACAAAAGTTTTGAAGCTCCATACATCGTGCGCGCATGGAGCTAATTTTTTGTAAGTAGATTATATGGATAGACAGTGTTAATTAAGGAAGAAAATGAGTTTAAAATGTTATTTTGATGTGAATAAAAACATTTCTTTTAACAAAGGCAAAAAAATTAATAATAAAGCTCCAAAATTTTTTTATTTTTTATTTATTTTTTTTGTTTAAAGAAATGTTTTAAAAAATAAATACATAAATGAGCTTAATTTCCCCTATCTAATCAATTTACCTCCAACTTTATCTTTAAAAGAGATTTGTCGTCTAAAACTCGAAAAAATCAAGAAATCTAGTTCAAATTCATTCTCTAAACCCTCGTTTGTACAACAATCATCTCTCATCGTCCCATGAAAATATTGAAGCTAGCCATCCTAATGTATCCTAACTTTTGAATCTCCGGTAAAAGTATTGAAACTAATTTCAAAGGCGAATCCAACAGAGAAAGCTCTTATGTTAGTGGATATGATCTAAACATGCAAACAAAAGAAAGCCTATCTAGAAAACTACTAAAATTAATTTTTTCATGGCCAAATCATGATCGAAGACAATAGAATAGCCACCAAAGATTCCACTATTATACAAAAATTGAATAATTTTGGACAAAAGATTCAAATCTCTTTACATAAAATTTACAATCCTCAACGTTTCTACTAGGGCATCAAAGTATCATAGAAAACAGGCTTGATTATTGTACCCCTCTGCATTAAAAAAAAAAAAAACCCTGACTCTCGAATAGACTAGTTGAAGTTACTTCTATGAATAAGAAGAACCCAAACCATAAAATCAAACCATCATTCTTCTTACCAAAGAATCTCTTAGACGCTTAACATCACATAGAAACCATAGAAATCTTCCAATCAAATGTTGAAGATTGAAGAGAAGACTATGATGAAAACCTACATAGAGTTCTAGAAGAGGGCAAAGAAAAATCAGATAATTAGAATGAATTAGGTCAATAGCAAAGGAATATTTTTATACCTTCAGTGATCACTGTTAATCTCAAATCAGGATCAATGGTCTAGAGTAAATAGAAACATATCAAATTCAAGAAGCGCCAACTTAGCCCTGTTTGTGTCCTTTTAAAACAAAACATTTTAATTCTCGTACTCATTTTCAATCACATTCATACAATAAAATATTTTATATATAACCCAATTTTTTGTATTTTTTAACCATACATCATTTCCACTAGAACAAGTTCGCCATGAGCCAAAACAAGCAAAAAAATTGACCTCCAAAAAATATTATTTAAATATCATTTTTTTTTTCAAAATAATGGTCATCAAACGGGGCTTAATACCAAAGTCACACTTCTCAAACACGACACTCCATTTAATGGATCCGGGTTTGGGCCTCATCATATTGAAATTGTCAAATAATAGGTTACGTTTAGCCCATTCCCATCATAGTCCAACACTTCATTTACCATGATCGTCTCCATGTAATAGTCAACAATCTACGTAAATATAATTTTAACCCTATACAGTATTAGTTCTCAAATGTCATGTTTCTGACAGATACTCATTACATGCAAGTTGTCGACATGTCGGCATGAAATAAGAGAAAGCAGTAAAGGTGAAAACGATAGATACATTCAACTATATATATGTATTCATCCTTTCTACATTCTGATATGCGTATACGGTATATATATACAACTGTTCATGTCTGCATTCGATAATGGAACTAAACAGTAAAATGATAATTTTAATTTCTGGGGTTTCATTTGGATGGTTCAATTCTATTTTGAAGACTGGCAGATTGAGATTTTGAAAGGAACGTGTACGTATCTGTATCTATACACGCACATACTGTCTTTTACATCAATGTCAAGAAATATTTACCGTAAAAGAAAATGGCTTTTTTTTTTTTTTTTTTTTAAATGACTTCAATTGCAGTGATTAAAAGATTGGTGTAGTCAACACCTTGAATGCAATAAGCAAAATTGGTTTCAAAATGACCTACTAATCTACTACTGTTTTGCAACCTAGCCCCTCTTTGGTGGAGACAAAAAATTAGATTTTAAGTAAATTTTGACAAAAGTTGATAGAAATGTGTGATTAAAAAGTTGTGGTTCCCAAAATTAAATTAGTTGTTGATTTTGACTTAAATCAAAATCTTGACTTTAATCCATATCAAACAGAGACTTAGTTTTAGTCGATTTTGATCAAAGTTGATGAAATGCAAAGTTGAAAGGTTGTGAGATCCATAAAATATGTAATTAAAAATAAATTGTTTACTTTGACTTAGTGTTAGATTAAAATCTAGATTTTAATTCCCACGAAAACAAGAGCTCGCTGTTATATCTTTAAGAAGGTTGTTTGTAAATAGTAAGGCTTTCATGTTTTCAAGATTTAATAATGAGATAATGCACACATTAAGATGAGAAAATGTTTACACATATAACTTTGTAAATATCCAAAAAAAAATTATTTATTTAAATTTTGCCTTCACCTTATGAGAAAATGGGTTGTTTTTTCTTTCTTCTATATCCATATTTATCTAATCGCACTTCATAAATTAACTTTACTTTCCCCTTTTAACTGCAGCATTTGGATCATGTGCTGGCCCCTATCATTTCACTGAACAGATGAGAAAAACGTGGATAATTGTTGAACATAGTAATTATATGAAACATACTGTTGGAGGTAACTCTCGAACACTAAATTTAAATAACATATTCTCTTTTTAATATTTAGGAATCTAGATTTTTAGATGAGATAATTGGATGTATTATTCAAAAAAGTAGGCAAAGATGTCGAGTTCAAAGTTGCGTCATCCATTTTTTGAAAATTGTTTACATACTACGTACTAAAGAAATTGAGTTTTGCTACAAAAACAGGGAAGGGGGACATGGATTAAATCCAAGTGCCACGTGTTAACATATGGCCGGTCAGTTTAAAAAAAAGGTACCCAGGTGCTACGTGGATTTAAATCCTGTTTCCATTTCCTATCAGAGTAGTTTTATACAATAAAATGAATTGCGAGATGCATAATAAAGAAATAATATGATGCTCTAGTACTTATAGTACGACATGCAAGAGTGAAGAAGAGAAAGACAGCCTCCTGGGGCATAATTCAGTGGTGCAAACGACAAGAGTGAGGTAGTCTCAGCCTTGCTGGCAGCTGCAGTGTAAGAGTTCGATTTCTGACATATGGAATTGGATTTTTTGTGGGCACAAGTGTAAGGGCAAACTTTTGTTTTCTGGCCTGTTGGGGCACATCCCGCGATTTACCTCCCTCACGATACTCCAGGAGCGGGGCAGTGAGGACCCTCAAGGTTGGGTTTCAATCTTTTTTTTGAAGAAGAGAAAGACAAATCAGGTCTAATTAACATTCTGTCAAAAAAAAACTCATGCAAACCTGACATAATCCTATATTTTGAGAAGAAAATACAAACAATTTAGTTTATACATAAATAAAAACGAGTGATAGATAGATAATACTTGTATATTCATTGAAATGTGTAGTTGATAATAAAGTTTGACTATTTATAAATACTTTACGATCATACTACAGTAATATAATGATTGAGATAATCATTGAAATAATGTCACATAACATTTTATTATTGGACTATTTTAAATACAATCAACATCTCCATCAAATTATCTGTTGCCAACTGGGATTATATCATTGCATCTATGACAATTTTTTGGTCAATATGGCGAGGTCTAATAATTTATTATAAATTAGCCAAAAGAGGACTACAAAGATAATAAATTTCTTCTCACTGTTATAAGTTTCAAGATAAAAGATTGGCAAAAGTATTAAAATAAATAAATGATATAAAAAGAAATTGATGTGAACTGACCAGTTTTTTTTGTTTTTTGTTTTTTTTTTGGGTAAATAACCGGTTGACCTAAAAGCTGGCTGATTTAAATTTCGAACCGACTCGTTTTGAAGCTAAACTCATCAATTCTTAAGTTATTTTGACGGCTTCTGATTTTTTAATATTTAATTTATAATTAAACTGTTCTTAATACTGATTCTTGATTCTTTGGGTGAACCGATCAATCTGATCAATTCTTATATTTTTGTTCAATACTATATCAAATACACAGTAAATATATATATCTACTTTCTGGTATTATTTATGAATTTAATTTAATATGAGACATGATTTTGGTCAAAACTGTTTAATAATTGTATTTCTACTATATATGCCTTATGCTATGGCTTTACATTCCTTAACCCTTCTCTCACATCACTTTACTCATACTTTATTTTTCAGGTTTCTGTGTCTCTATAGTTTCTAGGGTTTCCTTTTTGGCAGTATAAATTCAAGAAACTTTTGTATACCAATAGCTGAAGGATCCTTAAAATGATCAAGGGAAAAAACCAGTAACAGGTTTCAGAAGGAAAGATTCAAATTATTACCAGTGTCTTTTCTTTTGAGTAAAGAAACCCTTCTTCATCTCCCCCTCCCCTCCCCCCTTCCCCACAAGCCCACCCCCAGAAAAAAAGAAAGAAAGAGAGATTCTTTAGCTGTTTGATTTTGCTTGAAGATATATAGATCAAAGAGGTATGTTGATTATTTAGAACTTTTCCTTAAGATCCATCTCTCCACCCCTGAAGAAAAGTTTTCATTTGCATCTGTTTTGCAGGACAATTAAGATGACAGTAATATACAAACTTATGAAGTAATTTAACTTGGTATCAAAGTAGAGAGTGGTCATAAGTCCAACTTTCAAGTGGGGAAAAAACCGTTCTAATGGTTTTAATTTTTTTAAATTAGGCGTTTCTAAGTTCAAGTCCTCTGCCACCCAGTTAAGAAAATTATTATACTCGGGTAATGGCTTTGATGAAAAAAGTAATCCAGTTCTTACTTAGAAAAATTTCGAGGTTGAATGTGGGATTTCTGTTGAATATGATTACCTTTCTCTTCACTGTTGTGTTAAAATGTCTATAAATTCAGGTAACTTGGCTGCTGGTAAATTGCCAATTAAAGAATTTTCCAAAAAGATCAAACTTATGAATCCTGCTTAATTTTAAACTTCTTTTCTTGTTCTTGTTGTCCAGGAAGGCCTTCAGAAATAATAGAATAATTTTTTTTATGTAAATGTTTTTCCTTGCTGTATTCCTTTTAATTTTTTCATGTTTTTGTTCTGAGAAATAATAATTCCTATTAGCTTCTGCAGCTCTAAATAATTATGTGACGAATTTAAAGGAACGAAACAGTAAATTATTATAGGGATTTTATTTATCTATTTGTGTTTTAGAGATTTTCTTGCAGAACCAAGATTAATTTTGATAATTCTATAGTTATTTCTCATCTAAAAACTAAGCCATTTCAAAGGTACATATTTATTTATTAAAAAATTATTTTTATTACATCTCTTCACGTACGAATTTAATACATTTTCAATTGTACAAATTTCATAAAAGGATTATGGGACTCATATTTAGCTCATTTATTTGCTATGGTACCATGTTAAATCATGTAATTAATAATTTGTTTAAACATAGTATTCATGATCACTACCAATTCCATTAAAATCATAATATGTATATATGAGTTAATTATTCACAATTTAAATGGTTAATCTCAATTATTACTTTGTCTGATTCATTTATTTCAGGGAAAAAAAAATTGAATTTCAGGAAAAATGGCTTCTTCTACTAGCTATTCCAGCCCTCCGTGTGCAGCCTGCAAATTCTTGAGAAGAAAATGCCTGCCAGGTTGCATATTTGCTCCATATTTTCCTCCTGAGGAACCCCAAAAATTCGCTAATGTACACAAAATATTTGGTGCAAGCAATGTAAGTAAACTACTCAATGAAATCCTTCCTCATCAAAGAGAAGATGCAGTAAATTCTCTTGCTTATGAAGCCGAGGCACGGTTAAAAGATCCTGTATACGGCTGTGTTGGAGCAATATCTGTCCTTCAAAGGCAAGTTCTTCATCTTCAGAAGGAATTGGATGCAACAAATGCTGATCTAATGCGATATACGGGTAGTGAAGCCTCGTATCTGAATCAGATGAGTGCACAGTTCGGGAGGATGGGTCGAGAAGGAGGTTCTTTTAATCTGAATTCGGGTTACCCTGGGACATATTCTTCTCGATGGAATAATGATTCTAACAGCCCTGAAAATGGTGGAGATGGTATCATGTAAGGTCTTATATGTTTATATTAGGGTTTATTGCCTTTTATTTCGATAATATGAACCTTCTAATGCTCGTTCCATTTCTAAACGACGAGCTATTACTCTATTGAGTATATATTGCGAATAATATTTATGTGGGGAAGTGAAATAATTTGGTATATAATGAGTGTTCATCTTTTGGGACGTGTTTTGTGATGATATATGTAGTAGCGCAATGGTTGGCTTTTTGTTAAAAGAATAATTCACACTAGAAAAAGGGCTATGTAATGTAAAATACTTTTATATTGTAGTTCTTGCTCTTGAATTAAATATTGAGCAATTACTCCAAATGATTTTGAGTATTTGATGATGTAAGATAGTCTCTTTTTTATGGTATAAAATGTTTGGCTTCTAATTAAACATTACTTTTAAATTAATTAGTTAGATTTATGTATGTACCCTTTAATTATGTATGTATAGCATTACCCTTTAATTATTTCGTAATTAAGCTTAGTCCAACGTGAATATAGTGCGAAAAATGGTACAAGCTGTTTTTGTGACCAAAAGGGCTGGAAAGAGTACATATTTGTATAAAAATAAACACCGGAATTTTTTGTCGAGAATATATTAAAATTATTTGAACAACATTATCTTAAAAAGAGTCTCTCTTTGCAAGTCAAGTTATTTTTATCAAAGCCTAACATGCTCAAGTGAAATCTTCATAAATAAGTGATCATCAAATTTAAAACCTACATCAAAAGCCAAAATAATGATGAGAGAATTGAGTCATCAACTTCAATATTCTCGATGGCAAGGCCTTTCTTTCTCGATTTTAACTCGAATCTTGACTTGGAGATTCAATTAATTCTCTACCTCAATAAAGACTACAAAATGAATATTTTATTGAGTGATTATTAGATCTCAAGTCAAAAATGGAAAATTTATCTGATTCAACCTTTACAACTTATATTATTTTTTTTTTCCATTAATTACTTAGTTCTTGTGAATGTCCATTATATGATTGTCATTGTCTAGAACAGTACAAGGATCCGAAGAAGATTTTTCTCCCATGTGAAAGAACATGAACCTACAGAATTATTAGCTTGTACATATATATGGTCTTTTAAGTTATGTCTTTACATGTGAAGTCTGAATATTCTAAAACTTTCTAATGCTTTCAGCCAAAAAAATTTCAAGCATTTATCACTTTTTGTTACCTTTGAGTTAGCCTCAGCTTCTTGTAATCTGGCTGAGACATGTAGGAAGTTTGTCTATTATTCTGTTTAGTAACGTAACACATTATACTTAAGCATTCAACTTAATTTCATGGTTTTTTCACATATATATATCTCTTTTCCTCAGTGGGCAGGATAAAAATTTCTTACCGTTGAAGTGAAATGAGATCTTTAATTATAGTTTTTTGAATTTTGATTGCTTCAGAGGACCATAATTAAGGTTCTTTTATCATATCAACATATATTTTTTTTTTATTCTGCACAGTGAGAGCAGGAGATAATGACGACTATATATATATCATGACCATCCCAAAGTCATTAAGAGGTCCTACACAAGTACATATTGATCCCCCAGCAACTTCACAAACTCTATGATTATATATATTTGTACATATATATCATGAGCCATGACCATCCTAAAGTTATTAAGAGGTCCTACATATTGACCCCCCACCCCACCCACTCCCCCAAGCCTCTGAATAAATGTACAAGATTGCATTTACAAAAGCATATTTCTGGAATATGGAAATGAGAAGATAGCTGAATGTCCTTATTGGAAAAACATGGATACCCACTACTTTTGGGGGAGCAATAAAGTGGAGAATAGTAGGTGGGTAGGTGGGGTAGGGAGACTTACTTCAGTAGGGTATATGCAAAGAGGATGTAGACTGATGCTTAATATGAAGTAAATCATACAACACTTGACATCAAAATATGCTGTCTGTCTCTCTTTTTCACATAAAAGAAATTCACAACTAGGTAAAATGTACAAATATAGCTGTAAAAAAAAGAGGAAATGACCTTTTGCATATAGAGTTCATTAACATTTTAACTTGTAATAAAATGACTTAGATAGCTATAACATTAGAAAATTACAAATTGTCTCGAATGTTTAGGGTCGATAACGCTTCTCGTACTATATCTTATTTTTTCTAATCATAATATTTGTCAGAATCGACCTAATGGAAAGTCATTTCAATACAAACTTTTGTTGCTTCTTAGTGTAGCAATGTAATTATAGATTTAGCATTTTAGTCGAGATGAATAACACGGAGTACAATTATGAGCAATCCATGTTTGTAGCTTCTATTATAGAGTTTGGCAAGCCTTCAACGTTCAAAGTAAATTGAGTAACCAATACATGTATCACTAATCATAATGCTTGCTTTAACAAGTTTTTAAGTGCTTATAAGTAGTGAATCTCAAAGATTATATTATTAAAAATTCGATAAAAAGTTGTAAGTTTTAAAAAATGTGTAGTTACAAATGATGCTTGATCATTTTATAATCACATAAAAGCTTTACATATTATACCCACTTTATGTAAAATAAAATTTCTCGAATTATCATAAATATAATTTATCAAATTGTCAACTTAAATTGAGCACCAAAATAGCATATTCAGATTATGTGAAAAGTGGAATCTCTCAATTTATGTTAAGTACCATATTATTAAATGGAATGTTTTAGATTGTTAATCTAGACAATCTATAATTAGAAAATAAAATTCAGCAGTTACTATTTCTTAAGCAAATTTAACTCGAAAATCCCAAAAGATTATCTTAATATATAAAACCTCTATTTGATATAGATTAAAATCTACTAAAAATTTCAAGTTAGAGTCAATATTTACCCCCTGTTTGTCATCTTCTACTTTACATTATTTTTTCTACAGTACTCATTTTTAACCACACATTCTTCATTAAAATAATGTTATACACAAATAAAAAAAATTTCCTTCTTTTTTAACCACATATTTTCCATCAATCGCTATTTCATAATACATTTCTTCAAATTAATGGGGCTCAGAAAGGACTTTAATTTTATAAAAATGTACTATAAGTTTATATACACCAAATAAGAGGCAAAGTAATTAATAAATAAATGCTCCCGGGGTATAGCCCAGTGGTGCAAAGGATAGGAGTGAGGTTATCTCATGCCTTGCTGGCAGCCGCAGTGTGGGAGTTCGATTCCTGAGACATGAAATTTGACTTCTTGTAGGCGCAGTGTACATGCAGCTTTTGTTCCCTGCCTTATTGGGGCACATCCCGCGATTTACTTCCCTCATAAAGTTTTAGGGGGGAGATGTGGGAGCCCATAGAGTTGGGATTCAACCTTTTTTTTTTAATTAATAAATAAATTAAAATTGGTTGTTGAAAACCTTTGAAGTAAGTGGGGTCGACGAAAAGACTGATTAAACAATTCATTTGTTAATGTGGCCATAAGGTCTGCCAATTCAAGAATGAGTCCCATCAATCAATGGGCCATGCCAACCGCCCAAAAATCCCCGGCCAGGTTCAGGTGATCCAATAAAAGGTCCTACAGGCTACAGCCCAAATCCAAACATGAAATATTTGTTAAATAGGTGATTTGACTGATTTGATGCCCTAAAAAGCATAGGGAATAACGAACTTTTTGCACAGTTTTTAACAGGATATATCATGTTTTCCTTTACTTCTACACATTCTCGCTGAGCTAAACTTGGTCCTATTTGGAAGTGTTTATAATAAGAAAGTTAATGATAAATGAGTGAATGGTGTTTCATATCTTTTAGCTGTGATCTAGCCTCCAAGTACGACCACGTGACAACTACGCAATAAGCGAATCGAGATCCAAACTCCACATTATTTTGCCAGTTGACAGTTTAGTTTGCCCTACGAAGAGGTCGAACCCATATGCTAGGGTACATGATCAAGCTCTCATGGATGAGATGAGGCAGTTAGAGGCCGTTGCAGAAGATCTTTCATACAAAATCTTCTATTTATAATTGATGTGACAATACAATGCAACGATCAATCTACTAAGTTAACATGTCAAGTCTAACCTTTATGTGGCAAGCCTAGGGTTAAAAACGGTCATAACTTTAAATTTTAACCGCACACTCTCTATAATTCCCGGATTCGAACCTCTTTTTATTTAGAGCTTGTTTGTCTCTCATTATGGGAGATTATAGAATTTTGAATAATATTTTTTTGAAGAATGTGCGGTTAAAATTTAAAGAAACTTTATTAGTTTGTATGTAAAATATTTTATTATGTGAATGTGGTGGAAAATGTTACTGTAGCAAATAATTTAATTTTTTAAAGGATGACAAATAGGGGCTAAGTTGCTCATATCTCATGTATGTCCCACACCTAAATACATACTCAAACATATGTTGATTTAATTGTTGGAGAGCGCGTGGCCGCCTCTCCCACCAACGAAGATTGGCTAGTGCTCTAATGGTTTGTCCTTGTTAATGTGGCCATAAGGTCTGCCAATTCAAGAATGAGTCCCATCAATCAATGGGCCATGCCAACCGCCCAAAAATCCCCGGCCAGGTTCAGGTGATCCAATAAAAGGTCCTACAGGCTACAGCCCAAATCCAAACATGAAATATTTGTTAAATAGGTGATTTGACTGATTTGATGCCCTAAAAAGCATAGGGAATAACGAACTTTTTGCACAGTTTTTAACAGGATATATCATGTTTTCCTTTACTTCTACACATTCTCGCTGAGCTAAACTTGGTCCTATTTGGAAGTGTTTATAATAAGAAAGTTAATGATAAATGAGTGAATGGTGTTTCATATCTTTTAGCTGTGATCTAGCCTCCAAGTACGACCACGTGACAACTACGCAATAAGCGAATCGAGATCCAAACTCCACATTATTTTGCCAGTTGACAGTTTAGTTTGCCCTACGAAGAGGTCGAACCCATATGCTAGGGTACATGATCAAGCTCTCATGGATGAGATGAGGCAGTTAGAGGCCGTTGCAGAAGATCTTTCATACAAAATCTTCTATTTATAATTGATGTGACAATACAATGCAACGATCAATCTACTAAGTTAACATGTCAAGTCTAACCTTTATGTGGCAAGCCTAGGGTTAAAAACGATCATAACTTTAAATTTACTAACACTTATGATAAGATGCCTCAGCCGCTAGGATGAGGCCACGCATCTCTTTATCCAACGATTCTTACTTATCCTCTTATACTATAAAAAAAAAACTCACACATTGTGTCATTCAAATGCAATACAAGTTTATGCTCTCAATATACAACTTTTATATTCTTTATATTCTTTCTTTACTCTCTATAATTCCTGGATTCGAACCTCTTTTTATTTAGAGCTTGTTTGTCTCTCATTATGGGAGAAATTATAGAATTTTGAATAATATTTTTTTGAAGAATGTGCGG